TATAAAGCGTGCTGGCCGATCAAAGGGCAATCCAAAGACCTGGGAAACGTGTGTACGGATGTTGACATGCTGAAGGCCATCGACGATGCCATTGAAGACGGTGTCGACGTTCTGAGCATTTCAATTGCATATCCAAAACCTATCTCTTACGGAGACGATGTGATTGCGAGAGCGGCATTGGAGGCTACGAGGAAGAACATTGTGGTGGTTTGTAGTGCAGGCAACTCTGGGCCTTCAAGCCGGACTTTGTCCAACCCGGCTCCGTGGATCATTACAGTTGGGGCAAGCACTCTGGATCGGACCTTTCTTGCCCCAGTTTTGCTCCGTAATGGGACCAGAATTGAGGTAATTAAATTAAGAGTAAAATACTCCAACCTCCTTTACAGTTTGTCTTAATTATATAAATTTTCTCTCTATTTTAAAAATATACATTTAAATCCAAACTGTTAACTCTGTTAAAAATATTTTAAAAAATATTTTTTAATTCAAATTTATATTGAAATATTTTCTATTTGCTAAATTACTTTTCATAATACTAAATCCCAAAATGTTGGTTAAAACTATATCAAAAAATTTAAGATTTTCTCCTTTACCTTAATTTTATTTTTTTATTTTTAAATTTTTTGTTTATTTAATGTTTTTTTCGTATTGGGCCAAAAAATTAAATAATTTAGTTAATGTAAATATAAATTTAAATGATTTATATAAATTTCTAAACTCGCATAATTTATATTATGTGATAAGAAACTAAGCATTTAAAATATTTTCTAGCTATTTAAAAAAAATCCTAAGTTTCAATATTTCATGAGGAACTAAAATTATATAATTCTATAGTATAATTGAAATTAAAAATTTTATAACATATTAAAAATTTTGAAAATACATGTATTATAATTATTTTTTGTTGTACCAAAATTTTTCTATTTAAATGTTTAAATAACATTTATGTTAAAGAGGGATATTTTGGTCAAAATAAAAATTTAAAAGTCAAACTTAACAGTTAACTAACGGTTGGATGGATGGAAATTAAATATTAAAAGTATAAAGGATGTTTGTGTAACATATATTTTAATTTGAAAGGAAGTTTATATACGTTTTCAAAATGGGAGGGAGGTTTCTGTTATTTAAATATAATAGAGAGGTAGTCAATATATTTTACTCTTAAATTAAATGTTTGTTTTTTGCAAGTCTTATTCTAAATATGATATTGTTTATTAAAAAAAATGATATTGTTAAAAATGACCAAAATATGTCCTATTACGTATTAATTTTTTTATAAGTATCTTATTTTCATCCATACAACTAATTAATCTAAATTTAATCATTATTGCGTCTTAAATGGCCAAACATATCTGTTTTTTTTTTTTTCAAAGATTTGTAAGATTCACGGGTAACACGCATGAGTTATGACAGTATGAGTAGCTTTATTTAATAATAAATAAATAAATGTTCAAACAATAAAAACAATTGAAAATTTCAGGTATATTATTTAGTTCATATTAATATGATGCGTTATATGTTTAAAGAATGTGAGTGGGTGCGTGTTCGTGTTTAATTATAATAACATTTATTTTGGTTTTGAACACTCTATAGGGACGATCAATCACACCAATTCAAATGAATCGCAGCTTCCACAAATTGGTATTCGCAGGAAACGTTGAAAATTCAAGCGTTGCCAAAAACGACTCAGGGTGAGTATTGTTAACCATATTCTGCGACATTAAACTAGTGCATCTTAAACTCAAGAAAGCTAATCAAAAAACACAAACAAATGAAACGCAGGTATTGCCTGGAGGGTTCGCTGGAGGCCAAAAAGGTCAAAGGGAAGATAGTTCTGTGCATGAGAGGGAAAGGAGGGAGAGTTGCAAAAGGCTTAGAGGTGAGAAGAGCTCGTGGGGTTGGTTTAATTCTGGGAAACTCTGCAGCATTTGGAAACGACGTACCATGTGATCTTCATTTTGTTTCAGCCACTGGTGTGTCGTACCAGAATGCCCTCAAGCTTCTGCAATATCTGCGTTCATCCAATGATCCCAAGGTTCAACTTCTTCCTGGAACCACCGTGCTGCACACTAAACCTGCTCCTCTCTTGGCCAACTTCTCTAGTCGGGGTCCTAACATTGTCGATCCCTTTGTTCTTAAGGTAATATTTCCTTCATGCACACAGACTTCCAAGCAATTTACAGTTATGAACATAAATCTAAAGTGAGAACCCATCCTAAAAGACTAGCTTATTGGATGGATAAATCCCTCAAACTTATAAACTACACCTGTGAGACTGATAACTGTTACCCTCATTTTGCTTTGGACTAGACCACAAACATAAAATATAAATTTCATTCCATGATTTATTGATGGCATATCAAACAGGTGCTCTATAATCATTATTCCATGACACCACATTCCCTATGACTCTTTGAACCAAACGGGCACTTTTGAGGAGGCTAAGACCAGAAAGTTAACCTCTTTTGTGTGTTTGGGGTGAAATGCAGCCAGACATCACAGCACCAGGAGTAGACATATTGGCAGCATGGACAGAGGCAGATGGGCCAACAAGGTCAAATAAAGACAAGAGAGTAGTGAAGTACAACATATTTTCTGGTACTTCCATGTCTTGTCCTCACATTAGTGCTGCTGCTGCTCTTCTCAAAGCTATACACCCAACTTGGACCTCTGCTGCTATCAGATCTGCCCTCATCACCACAGGTACCTAACCTTCATTTTCAAATTTGATGTGATAACCTGCATGTCAACAGTAATTCACTTTTATACGTTGACAGGGATGATGATCATTCAGATTTGACCCATACAAGAACTGCTTGATTTGTCTCTTGCTTAGGTTGAGTATGGTCATATTTAATTAGACTTTAAAAGAGCTCAAAGGAGAAAACATAATCCAACATGGATAATTTGGGTTTGAGACAAGGTCAAGAGAGAGATGATCTGATATTTGATGAATGATCTACAGAGAAGCTATACACACAAATAAGATAAATCTACAGCATTGGATGCAATTATCTCACATGTAATTACTTAAGCAGAACCTCATGGTTAATAATTTATCCAAAGATTTAATTGTTACCAGAGTTTAATAGCATCATACAATTCATGTAACCGACATCTTCTAATAGGATAAAGCTTATTATTGTGGTCATCCTAGTTAATTACGAGTTAAATAATTGTTTTCTTGCAGCCAGCACAACAGACAACATGGGAGAGCCAATGAAAGAAGAAACAGGAAAACCTGCGACTCCATTTGCATATGGTTCTGGCCACTTCCAACCTCTGAAAGCATCAGACCCTGGGCTAATTTATGATTCTTCCTACACTGACTACATTCTTCACACATGTACCCTTGGAGAAACTCAAGAATTGAAACTCAACTATCGCTGTCCAAATCCATTACCTGACCCTAACAACCTCAACTATCCATCCATCCAAATTCACAGACTCAGTGGTAGCAAGAAGACAGTTGTGAGAGTAGTCACAAACGTTGGTAGCCCCAAGAGTGTCTACAAGTTCAGTGCTCAGTCACCAAAGGAATACACCATCTTAGCCTCTCCGAATGTTCTGGAATTTGAAAATGTTAGGGAGAAAAAGAACTTCACCATCACAGTGATGGCAAAAAGAAGTCAAGTACCAGAAAAGATTGAGTCAGATGGAGATCAGTACTATTTTGGGTGGTATGCTTGGACTTACAAGCAATATGTTGTTAGAAGTACAGTTGCTGTATCTTTTCTATAATGTTTCCGATATTATTATGGTTGTTTCTTAGTGGCTTTTGTCTTTTACATTTGAATTGTACATTAGTCAAATGATGGAAGCATTACAGATAGATATAAAAGAAAAGGCAAAGTAAGATTGGGATTTAGGAAGGACAGTAGGATCATGGCGCTAAGATTGGGGATTGGTTTGTACTCTCTCAGGATCAGCACGATGTAATGTCACCATGGTTTGCTTCCTCAACTTTTTTGTTCTCTGGCGTCTCTGATATTTTAAATCAAGAGGACTCGATTTATGCTTCGAAAATGACCGAGCTTTTTTGCTTTTACGAAAATTGTACTCCTCTGGTCCTTAATATATAACCTAATTATTGAGTTGATTTTAATCCTAAATATAAGACTTTCTCAAATTTATCAATTTTTTCTAAATTATCCCTATGGATACTTCCACAACTATAATCAAGTAGAAGAGGAAAGGAAAATATTAAGAAAGATGATTATGGTGTTTTAGGAAAAATATGTCATTTTTTTATAATTAAGTAACTTATCTAACTTCCTTAATCTAATCAAATTAGTTAAATAGGTTTTATATTAAGGACCAGAAGAGTATTACATATAAGAATTAAGATTGTATATTTAAAACCTAGATCTTCTGAAGTGAAAAATTAACCAAAAATAAAAATGATGGTGTGTTTATTTGTATTTCCTTACTTCAAAAGACCTGCTGTCCCTTAAAAGGCATTTCTCAACTTTAAATCTAAAAGCATGTCATCCGTGAACAAAACAGAATGTATTTTAACCTAAAACACGAGAGAGTTGAGAGTTGCAAGAATTATGTTACTGGCACAAAATTAGATGGGAAATTATGAAAATACAATTATATTTTCAAACACGTCTTAATAATAGCTATCAACAGTTTTCATATTTATAATTTCTTTTCTCTAATTTACATATTTTGGCATACTTTTAAGTTCAATAACACGGTAAGTAAAAACACCCTTGAATTATATCTTACGGCATCCCAATTCATACAAGGACTATATCTTGCTCTATTCCAACGTACTCCTTTTGGTCCAAAAACAAAATTCAAATTCGCTCCTTGAATTAAGCGGTTTCCATATACAGTTATACAGACTTGACATCAGCAGCACCCTTGGGAATTTTCCCTTCCATCTAACTTCATAGAGCAAACTAATGAACTTTTGCATATACAGTTACGTTTACTTACATTAGAATACATTTCTAAGTATCTCGGACCCAGATAAGACTGTTTCCTCGTGGAAACAGAATCCAATTTCAGGTGGTTGATTCATCATCTTCATCCCATGTTGTTGTTCTCACTCTAACCCGTTCACCATTAAAGTGAATATACTTCCACTTAAGCCCATATCTTTTTATAACCAATTTCATCTTTTCTTCTTGACCTAGTTCTCTGAATGCTCGTGCCACTCTGCGAACTGTGTCTTCATCGGGTTTTACACGCAACTCCTCCATGTCTGCAAATACCTGACCATACAGAAAAGAAAGCAATAGAGCTCACTACGTTGAAGCAAACATAATTTAGACACACGTACAAAGAGTCAAACTAGACAACTGCAGAAAAATCCACGTGAAGGTGAGAAAAGAATGGTACCTCTATTATCTTATCAGGCATATAATGATGGTCATACAATGCAATCATCCTTGAAAAAAGTCTCTTTGAGAGAGAGCGTGTATGGGCATGTATAATCATGTTCCACAATGATTCTGCCTCCTCAACCCTCCGATCCCTATCAAATGCCAGAAGAAGAGTGTCATAAGTCCCCATTGTTGTTCCTTGACCTCTGCTTAACATCCACTTTGCCACCTGAGTAGTGTTAAGAATCAGTAACCAGTGATATTTCTTTCCATCGCCATATGTAATCGAAATCAAGTATTGACATAGACAACACACTCAGGGCTAACGAGTGAAAGAGATACCATTCATCAACAGCTTAATTTCGTTTTCTTATGCTCATATGCAAATAGTGACATTCGTAAGAAGGACCAGCACATAACAACATTCATTAATATTAATAGATGGCATTTCTTTTATGTTGATGGAAAAAACAAAAACTTGAAAACTTTTAATATCCAGAACATACATAAGATGTAGATCTATAAGCTCGACAAGAATACAAACTGGACCTTTTCTCAATTGAAGAATAACACTAGCTGGGAATTTGATTTAAGCAGAAGCTACATCAGGGGAATCAGATTTTGATCAGACGAGCTGCAGTAAATATTTATAAGAAACCTTATCTTGTATTCTAAATCTGAATCATCAACTTAACTAATTTCAGCTTTCTTTAACCTATTCAATTATCTAAGGACCTGACAACAAACTATAATTCATTCCCCGGAAAAACAATCTAATGTCAAGTCCCAGATAGCACTCAAGTTAAGCGAACTCATACAATTATTAAAAACCATACAGGAATAACCCTCAAGAATATCAAGGTCATACTTGAATTAGCCGAACCCACTGGCCCCTTTTCCTTAAGATTTTTAAAGCCTTCGCAACTGCAATCAATGGGAACTCTGTCTCCCAAGCTGTCCATTTGTCCAATGCCCCATAAACAGCCTCTTTTTCATTAGGGAGTTCAGACACCTGCCATTTCCCCATTAGCAATGCACAACAAATTAAACTACACAGAAAGACCGACTTCTTTTTTCTGCCACCGTCTGGTTAATTATTTTGTATTTTTGTTCATTACCTGAATTAACACAAAATACTGTTCCTTTTTCTAGGACACCAATTAGAATATTCTTAACGAAATGAAAAGGTTAGAGAAGCATACAATTCTGATAAGACTAAGCGCCTTTTGCCCAGACTTAGCAGAATCTCTTCTTTGCCATAAGTGGTGCTCCTTCTTTCCAACTCGTCCTTTCCCTCTTCTGCATTCCAAGTAAAAAAAGAAATCATGGAAATATGATTCTCAAGACTTGGAATACACCCTATTTGACCTATACAGCTTGTCATGCATTGTAGCATTAAATGGTGAAGCATGAAGTATATGGTACTATACAAAATGGGAAGCAGAAGTGGATAGCAACTTATGGCGAAAATAGGATAACTTACTTTTCCAGCACTCTGGGTCTACCTAGTGCTCTTCCGTTATGGCTGAGAGATGATTGGATCAAAGGAAAAGCTAATGCACTTCTGATATAATTTTTCTGCAATGAAAGCAAGTACAATCAGAATTTTTCAAATCAAAATTTAGTCAAAATGCTACATTGAATATCTCCTGTCTTTTCATTAATGGTCAACACTGTACCTTGTGTGAGACACATGTTAGAGGTTTTGAGATCCTATAACCAAATAGCAGAGCTCCAATATCTGCCTTAGTCTGAAGCAACATTCTACAACCGTCCATACTCTATCAAAAGCATTACGTTATGAAGTGGTTTTTCTGAGCAACTAGAATATAAGATCACACAGTACATGCCATTACCTTAAATTCTACTGAAGAGAGAATCGGACAAGAAATTGTACTTCCACATTGAATAAGTATCATACTTCTGTTACCCTTTAGACTCAGCTCGCTCAATATCTCAGATGACATGAAACAAAGGCTTCGTCATTGTACCCCTTATGAACAGAATTCCTCAACAAACCAAAAAGAACATACCTGTCCATATAACATAATTGAAACGTAAACATCAAAACAATAATATTCTTAATAAAGTACTAATTGCCTGCTACAGTATTCTTCAATAAGTCACTATCCTTAAACCCACATAAAAGCGCTGTTTAACAATTAATTTTTATAGGGAGGATTTTCAAACTGCCACATTAAGAAAACATAAAGCTAGGCAACAATTTTTACATACACCACATGCAAGCATTTTATCAAACCGCTAAACTGCATATCCCTGGGACAACCGAGCAGAATCGCAAGCAATGAACAACGAATATCCATGATGCATAAAGAGATTTTTACATCACCCAGTGCGATTCCTCCTCACAAAAGCCATCACATCTCTCAAGACCTTCTATCTTTTCTTTAGCAGTATCATATCAATGAAGCAATGATACACTAGAGACTAATAATTAATAACAATTCAGGAGGCCCCGCTGAACAAGCAAAATACACAGTTTTTAACAAAGCCACCAAGGATATAGATGCCCCAGAAGGCCAGCAGAGGATTAAAATCTACGTGCTCTAAAATGCAAAGGAAAAACAATTTAACCAGATCTCTATCAATAGAATCCACCTCAACCAGAAATTCTTGGCGAGGCGGAATAAGAACAGGAAGCAGAGACAATACCCAAGCAATGAGCTTTCCTCTCTCTAAAAGCAGGGTGAAACGAGGAAAAGGCAACTTTTTTAGCAGCTACAGCTTGCCCAGAGGTGCCTTACTAGCGGGGCCTCCCTTGTTTCCTCTTGGCAGGTTCGAGCTAGGAGAAGACAAAGGAGGGCAAGGAATCAGCAGGAAAATTCGCAGCTGTAAATTACATATGCTGTAGAGATATTGGCAAGTATTTTATAAAAGCTCACCTTCTCCTTAACCGCGAGATCAGTCGTGACCCCGCTGGGCAATAACGGCCGGCAAAGAACGGTGAAGCGAAGAGCAAACACTGAAGCATGATCATAAAGCCCAATTGAAGCCTCTGGCCCATTTCTCATTAATTGCGTCATGGTGTCATAGTTTGTACGTCTATAATAAGAGAGAGTCCATTCACATTATCAAAAAAAAAAAATTCAGAATTGAGTCTGGTTAGAAGAAGCTATTCTTTCGTAACGTGACAAGCCAAGATTTAAATTCTGATTAGAAGAGTTACCCACATTTAGTATCCGATAATACCTCAAATAAAATTACCTCCAATAGAAATATACCTATGTTTTTGGCCAAAAAAAAAAAGTCCATTCATGATGAAAACATTAGTGGCTAATGTTAGTTTGTAATTCTTATTGTTCAAAGTTGATGAATCGTTAATTTTATAAACAGTGTATTGCAAGATATTAAAAATCAGATTAATCAATGAATTGATCAAGACAACACTTTAAGAACTAATGATTCAAACTAGAGTCAACTCAAAATCGAACTAGCCATTTAGAATAATTTAATTTAATTAAAATATAAAAAGGATATTAACTCTCAGATAAATAAAACACTCACATAAAACACACATAATCCAATAAAAAAGTTAATAAAGCACAGTTATGATGGATTGTTGTTTTTTTTTTTTTCTTTTTTACAACTCAAAAACCCCAAAAGAGGTGCGGTTAAAAGGTACATACAAGCCAACTCACGATACATTTGAAGTCGAAAAGAGGCCGATGAGTGGCTTGGAGGGAGAAAAAGTTGGTGAATCATCCACTTGCTCTTGTTAATTAATTAATTGTAATTTAAGCAACTCCTTCAGATTTTAAAAAAAAAAAAATATTTGTCATCTTCTTTGGAGTACGCCATTGCTAACCATTTCTAATCTCCAAAACCTTCCTTGCCTTTCTATGAAGATGCCTTCCTTATCTTCTTTTGTATGTTCATAAATTATACTTCTGTAGTCTTTAATATAAGATCTATTTAACTAATTTGATTAGATTAAGAAAGTTAAGCAAGTTAGTTAATTATAAGAAATATAATATGTTTTTTCTAAAACAGCATAATCATCTTTCTTAATATCCTCTATCTCTCTGTTCTACTTGATTATAGTTGAGGAAGTATTCATAAAGGTAATTTAGCAAAAATTGATAAATATGATAAATATGTCTTATATTTAGAACCAAAATCAATTCAATAATTAGGTCCTATATTAAGAACCGGAAGAGTAGTATTTTTTTACCCCTCTAGTCCTTAATATAAGACCCATTTAACTAATTTGATTAGATTAAGAAAGTTAGGTAAATTAGTTAATTATAAGAAAAATGACAAATTTTTCCTAAAACATCATAATCATCTTCCTTAATACCCCTTCTCTCTCTTCTACTTGATTATGATTGAGGGAGTATCCATAGGGTTAATTTAGAGAAAATTGATAAATATGAGAAATGGGTTTTATATTTAAGACCAAAACTAACTCAAGAATTGGGTCTTATATTAAGGACCGGAGGAGTATATTCATAAAGTTGTGTATGTAAAACAAGTGATAAGGTGACGAACAGAGATTAATTAGTTTGAGTATAAATGATTTGATTTCCTTTAAATATGAGAAATAACTTTTATATTTAAGATCATAATCAACTCAATAATTAGGTTATATATTGAAGACAGGAGGAGTAGTTTTTTTTTTTTTTAATATTCATAAGGTCGTGTATCTAAAACAAGTGATAAGGTGACGAACAGAGATTAATTAGTTTGAGTATAAATGATTTGCTTTCCTTTAAATAAGACTACGTATTCAAAATCTAAGGGGCGAAAAAGCTCTTTTTCCCCAAAATAAAAAAAAAAAAACTTCAAAACAATATACTTTAAGTTGCGTTCAAACACCAATCCAATCATATTTGTGTAGAACTAAAAGTTGCCATTTGTAGGTAAACCATATTTTGAAATCACGTTACACTGCAACTGTATGCATCTAATTCAGATATTAAATACTAATATTAAAAAAAGAGTCATATGGAAATATAAGATTGTGCCATTTTATCCTTACTTTTTTTTTTCTATTATATTATATACAACCAATTCATGAATATAAAATGTGTGTGTGCCTTCTCTCTTATATAAATCGAATTATCATGAAAGTTGGTTCAACTTGTGCAAACGTGTTTATCAACAACAAGTTTATCCTTGTGACAAGGTTACCTATTACTACCTTCGGTCCTTAATATAAGACCCCGTTTGACTTTTTGTTTGGTCCTAATTATAAGACCCCAATATATTTTGTCTCTCATATTTATGCATTTTTTTCCAAGATAGTCTTTCTAATAATAATAGTTCTAGCCAATACACTTAATTAACAAGGATATTTTAGGAATGACAACACTTATTTATTACAAATAACTAACTTAACTTACTTGCTTAATCTCCTCAAATAAGTCAACCGGGTCTTATAATTAGGATCGAAGGTAGTATATTTGAATGAATTTCTAATTCGAACCTGATGTTGACATGTTTATACGTGCCAATGTAATTAAATTGATTTTGATAAAAAGAAAACTTGTTAATCCTAAAATATTAAGAGCGAAAGAAAAGAATTAATTTAAACAATTTATGGAGCATGGAGTTCCAAATAAATAACAGCAATTCTAGTTGCAAGCAAGGTTTAGGGATGAAGATAATTGCCTCTCACAAAAGTTTAATCTGGGGACTAATTTAATTAATCAAATAAAATAATATTAGCACTATTGAAACCATTTCTTAGCGTGTACTTGTTTATGTATGTGAATTTAAATCAAAAGTTGACATGTAAATCTTTTTGTGGGAAACTATGCTTTTGTATGAGATTTGTATGTATGTAAAATTTACATCTGTCTTTACATTTTCTTTTTTCCAACCACCTCTGTTTTTTTTTTTTTTTTTTTGCATTGCATATAGTTAAATAGATGAGTTTATATATAATATTGTGTACAAGGACATGTGAAGGATGCTGGCAAGAATACATCTACTTGTGATGAAAAATTATATTAAAAATAATCTCTATTTATCATCCATTGTTGTGCCTACTGAACTAATCCAAACGAAATAAGTATTGATTATTCTTAGCCTTTTGTGTGCCATGACTTCATCTCAGGAAATTTCTGCTGCCCTTCCTTGCCTCGTTGCCTAGAATAGAAAAATATCCCACCAACTCCAATGATTGCTTTCCTGTTTTTCATCTTAATTACTACTTCTGGTTTTAAATATAAAGTTTTATTTATAATCTATAAACGAGATTTTATATTTAAGATACGAAGTAATATATAGTAATCCATTTGATATGAGTCAAGTTGGGTATGATGATAAAGATGATGAAGCATTTAAATCTAAATTTCAAAATCACTAGCTAATTAAATTTGTACAAACGCCCACCTATGAAATGACAAATGCTTATTAATGTTATGTAAAGTACTAAAAACTTCGACTTGTCGCTAAATTGCTCGAACTAATGGTTCAAGAATTAATAGTCCAATCGGGATAAAGTTGATTGGGATTAAAATAATATAATTTGGTTAAAATATACAAAAATGTCCATTTATAACCATGAAAAAAATAATATTTCAGTCCTAAATATAAGGGTCTTATATTTAGGACCGGAATAGTAGTTACATAAAAAATATGAATCTATAAGTAAATAGAACAATTATGCATACGCTACACATAATGTAGAAAAAAGAAGTTACCAAAGCATAATTATGATGGAATGCTAATTTTTCTTTAACTCAAAACACGTCATGTTAGACTCAGCAAAGTAGGAAAAATTGTAAGAAATCTAGTCTAAACCCGTCCAAGTAACTAAGGTCAATAAGGTTGATCGGAATCAATTAATTTCTAGTTTATTTGGGTGACAAGTTCACCAATTTCCAGATCAACTTAATCGGTTGAGCTCGAATTTTTATGCACTAATGTTATAACTATCCTTTTTTTTTTTTATAAAATGATATCAATTTATTTGTTTTCCTTTCTCTTTCTCATCTCAATTCTCAAGTACTCTTATGATCCTATTTATAAGACACTTTCAGCATGTTTTATACTAATCAAGAAAAAATTTAAACTTTATTAACTCTCATTTAAAATTTAATAACTTTCTAACTTTATTCCTATTTAATATACAATATACCTCATATAAATAAGATCAACATAATAATAAATAAGAGATAAAATTGTACATTCATACAAAAAATTTCTCTCAGTACCTTATAAATAGAACCAAAAAATATTTTATCTCTCTGTTCTATAAATAGGATTAGAGGAGTACACGTTTTGAAATAATTTAAGAATTGTAAGACATTTTGTGAAGCATTTTCTCTCTCATTTAGATGTGTTTAGATAGAAACCAAATTATAATTTTTAAAATAATTTTATGATATGTGAAAGAATTTTCTTCCTTTTACCAAAATCCATTTACTCATGCTTTGACTCGTTACTGTAAAAATCTTACGTCCTTCTTATTCACTTCCACATTATTACTCCTATTTCGAATTCACACTTGGGATGATATGCCATTTTCATATGCGTCATTCTCAATTCGATCACAGGTTAAAATTAAATCTCAATATGTGTATCTAAATTTTTGAATTGATCTAATTTAATTTTGTAGAATAAATAAAACTCTATATATATATATATATATATGTGAATGTATCTTCAACGTATTCCCTGTGGTAAGATTTCTAATTTAGTCCTACTTAACTTACCAATACAGATAAGTTCAAATTAAAGCGACTCAAAGGTTCTTAAGTTGAAGATTATCTTTTTTTTTTTTGGGGCCAACGACGATTATCTTGTTGGTAATATATATTTTCGCATCCCCCAATGCTCGATCAACGCTTAATTAATCAATACCGTCAGATATCAAATAATTATTTGAGAAAAATAGTCTGCAAGTTCAAATACTAGGATTCATTTAACATACTAAGCTCACATCTTAGCTTTAGCTTCAGCTTCAATGTGGGTCGACAACTAATTGCATATAAGGTTTGGCATTAAAAATTGTATGCCTTCATAAAGGAATACGCCAATTTTATATTTTACTCCATTCTTTGATATAATTAGTAGATCACAGCTAAAATTTAGCAGTCATTCCTACTCAGATTAGGGTGCATTCAGCACCCTAAAGTATGTTTTTTAGGTGCATCATCCAACATTTTAAAGTATTTTGTAGTGTATACAGCACTGTAAAATAGTTTTTAGGTGTGTCTAACGTCATAAAGTATTTTTTTGGTACATCTAACACCTCAAAGTTCACCCGAAAAAAATTTTCTGCATCCAACACTAAGACTAAAAAAATATTTCTGAATACTGAATGCACCTAAAAAATATTTTAAAATATTAAATATATCACAAAATATTTCATAATATTAAATATACCTAAAAAATATTTTTAAATGCTAGATGGACTTTAATTCGCCTTACTCCTTGTCTTTTGTCTTTCCTTAAGTGTTCGTGGAGACCCGTGTTAAGAAATAAAATTAAGGACATCAACGCTGGAAGCTGAGGAGATCCAAATTGAGATGGTAGCACTACAATGTACTTTAAATATAAAATATATAATCTTACTATATAATAAGTAATGTATTGGAAATTGAATAGGATTTTTTTGGCCATCGAACAGCATTCCATTAATTGGAACAATGATTTAAGATCAATGGCTGTTATTTTTTTCCGCCAGCCAGGGATCAAATTCAAACCAATCATAATTATTAAGATAAACCACATACGTATTGTTATGCTTTTTAAAACTTAAAACAACGTTATTTTGCTTTCACCAATTCACTGATCTAATCGAGCCACTCAGATTGAATTTTAACACTGTAATAATAAGAATGGTGAAATTAAGGTCAGAAAAAAAATCAGATTTTATCTGAAATAACTATCTAATATAAAAATACGTCGTCATATATTCTAACAATTTTATTACTGTAACAATAGAATAAATGTATTCTTACTATTTTTTTTAAAAAAATAATTATATGCTAGTATTAATTAATTATGGTTACATAATACTACTTCCGGTCCTTAATATAAGACCCTGTTTGACTTTTATTTTAGTCCTAAATATAAGACCCCAATCCACTTTATCTCTCATATTTATACATTTTTTTTTCAAAGTAACCCTTCTAACAATAATAGTTCTAGTCAATATACTTAATTAATAAAGATATTTTAGGAAAGACAATACATATTTAAGACAAATAACTAACTCAACTTATTTCCTTAATCTCCTCAAATTAGTCAACTGGCTCTTATAATTAGGATCGGAGGTAGTAGTAATTGAAAGTCATAATGATCTTAACTCTCCCCACGCAAGGCATGAACCAAATGATAGAAATTGAGTAAAGCAAAACAGCATCTTGGTTCAGTACTCGTCTAGGTACAATTTTTTAGAAACCTCAAAATAAATATACCTATTAATTGGTTCCCATGTATACTCTGAATGTAGACATGTAAAAAAGAGCACTGGTTAATATCATTAAAAAAAGAAAAAGAAAAAGAAAAAGCACTTGTTCAACATATAAATAATCCAAAACTCAATTAAATAAAGCTGCAAACCAACTAGGTCAAGCAACTATTAATCTACAAGCAACTACATTCCTGATGATACAAGTTAGAATGAAGAATAAATTTTCCAATAAAAAATAGGAAAAATTACAATGAAGCCTTAAAAAAATAAATATTAATAAGTTTTAATAACAAATGAGTAATTTTTCACACTAAAATTTGTCATTATAGATTGTTTTATTGTCAATAAATTTTTTAGCAATTATATCCTTTATTTGAAACTTTATAGCAATTCCCAAATAAAAAAAACACTCGCTTTTAATTCAATTATATCATGCCTCTAATCACCTCACCTAAATTAAAGAGATATGATTAAGTTTGACAATTACGTTCAAAATATTATTAGACATTAAATGTGAAAACTTTTCTTGAGAGGAATTCAATTCAAATCTTAATTAATTATATTATATTTTTTTGGACTGAATAATTAATTATATTATAAGGACTAATCTTTTCTGGTAAATTCATCCTACTATTTTTTCCATGACTTCAAGTAGAGATGATATGGAAGGGAAAATGATTATAAAAATATGTGGGCCATTAGTATAAATGAAATAGAAGTAGGGACCACAGGTGAAAAGTCATTGGTATAATTTCTTGGGCCAATTAAAATTCATAATAATCTGTAATGACGCCATTTCACAACACATTCCAATCAAAGAGTGCTTGCTACGACTCTCCAATTCTGTCATTATAAAAACCCAACCTTCACTGTTCCATTTCCAAAGCTTCAAACTTCAAAAGCCTTTCTCTCTCTTCTCTCTCTCTCTCTCATGGCTGAAGAATTCCAAGAAGCCGACGTCATCTTCTCCGATCACCACCGGCAGAATCCTCCGCGTGCTGCCACCTCGGACGGTGAGGATGACTATCGGAGTGACATTTCGCAGAGAGAGCTGGATTCGCGACGGGTTAAGTTGAAGAGGAGCAAGAAGAAGAAGAAGAAGAAGGAGATGGCAAATTCGATGCCGGTAAATATACCAGAGAGGATCTTCCGGCGAACGGATTCGGATGACGAGCTGCTGGAGGAGGAATGGGAGGACGAAGGAATGGTGCCGCCGTACGTGATCGTGAATCGGAGAATCGCCGGGAAAATGGCGTTCTCGGTGTGTACAGGGAACGGAAGGACCTTGAAGGGACGGGATTTGAGCCAAGTTCGGAATTCAATTCTGAGAATGACTGGATTTTTGGAAGCGTAACTGTTTTCATGTTGCGACCTAAATTGCGTTTGGCGACCGGGAAAATTACGGAGAATGAGATGGAAATTAAACTGTTTCAACAAGTCTCAGCTAGCAGTTAGTTAATGACGTTCTTCTTCTTCTATGGATTACTGAGAATGCTTAGAAGTCTCGCACAGATTGTGACAGGAGAAAAAATACATACAGATACACTGATTTGAGATTAGAGAAGAGGTGAAGTAATCGTTGTTGCTTAATTAGTTCCTTAATCTTGAGGCTTTGCTTTGGTGCAATGGATTTCCCTTTCTTGGATGATTTGCTTAATTAGGATTAGCTTGTGGGTTTGTAGATTGTATTGCAGGTTTGATTAAGCTTGTGGTTTTCTATGGATTTTCCAGCTAAAATCTCTGGAAAGTGGAAACTACCAAAATGCTTCCTCATATTATATACACACACAAACAACCTTCAGTCTTTAATATAAAATCTCATTTGACTTTTATTTTGGTTCTAATTATAAAACTCCTATTCACTGTCTCATATATTTGTGCTTTTTTTTTCAAGATAGTCTATCTAATAATGGTAGTTCTAGACAATAAACTTAATTAATAAGAATATTTTAGGAAAGACAACACCTATTTATTACAAGTAACTAACTTAACTTATTTTTTTAATTTTTTCAAATTAGTCAACTAACTCTTATAATTAGGATTGGAGGTAGTATATATGATTGCATATATTTGGTTATCTTATTCCTAAGTGATCCCAAATTGCTTTTACCATATTGATATATAGGATGTTAAAAATGTAATTAAAAATTAAAAATTATTACTCCTCCGGTCCTTAATATAGGACCCAATTGTTGAGTTGGTTTTGGTCCTAAATATAAGACCCATTTTTCATATTTATCAATTTTTTCTAGATTACCCTTGTAGATACTCCCTTAACCATAATCAAATAAAAGAGGGAGAGGGGTATTAAAAAAGATGATTATGGTGTTTTAGGAAAAATATGTCACATTTTTTATAATTAACTAATTTACCTAACTTCTTTAATATAATAAAATTAGTTAAATGGGTCTTATATTAAGGATCGGAGGAGTATTATGCAAACAAAGTTTTTATGAATGATGGAAATATATGGAGGTTACTTTGCCTAAGGCCAAGTTGCGTATGAAGATTTAAACATAACCAAGTAAACAATCCACCTAAATCCTAATCCTCCAATGTTTGTACCGAGTCTGTTTTTCGCCATTAAAAATTGTATAATTTAAAAAGAAGAGTGAATTTAATTTTATTCTTTTCTACTGCTCTCTCCTATTCTCATTATAAATTTCAAATAACCGATTTACACATAACCAAAAAATTAGTTAAAATTAGTTTAAAGTAATATATAATAAAAAATATTGTTTTATTTTTAAATATATTCTTACAAAAAATGAGAAAAAGGATTAAAAATGTACAAGAAAAATGTAATGAGAAAAAGAGTGAGGCAATAGAGAGAATAATTTAATAATAGAAAAAAAACATTAAATTTGAAACAAATTTAACTTAAAACTTATAAAATAAATCACACACCTCTTCAAATCTAGAGCTCGTAAATAATACAGGGAGAAGTACTATATTTGCTGGACAAAATATTCTCTTTTTATGATGATGAAACTACAGCACAAAACTTAGCCAGGATAAAACATTCTGCCAACACACAGAAAGAAAAAAAAACCCAGGCAGCTAGTTTAGATCCATTTTGTAATAATTACTTTGGGTCCCACTTATAGGGAAAAAATTTAAAGTGCTGTTTATCTTAAATTTAGGGTGAAAATATGGTAATTAAAATTATTTCCAATGTCAGCCCTCCTCAACTTTTGTAACAAGTGGCGTGCTTTAATTTTAATTCTTAATTAGACACCACTTCACTATATGATTTTGATTTTAGTTAAAAGAAAGTTTTGAAAAGTCACATATTTTACTACAAACTTAAGAATAAAAATATTAGCTATTACCTCTTAAAAATAATCAAATTAGTTAATTCTGTCTTATAATTAGGATAGAGTGTAATAATAATAATAATAATAATAATAATAAATACTGTGTTATGTTCTAATCTATAGTATGTGAAGGTAGCTTACTATAAGAAGGAAACGAGACCATAAATTGGAACATGGGTTGTTAGATATGATTAGTTTTGATGATGTCAAAAAATAGAGCAAAAAGTTTATATAAATTATTTACCTCATATTTTGACTAACTATCATACTTAATATCTTTTGTAGTTTCCTCAAGAAAAGAAAAGAGTTTGAACTTTGAGTTGTCGAGAATGATCAAGAGGAAGAAGAAGAAGAGAGATTGAGAAAAGAAGAACTTGCAAGATCAAATGAAAATATCAAGATTCAAGTTCATAGATTTGATGTTAAATGTTGCTATACTCAATCAGAAGTTTGAATGGCTCAGTCGGAAGCGAAAATATACAATCGGGAAGTTATACCATCATATATTGAGTCACCCTTCATATAAACATGGAAAATAAGCTTCAGAGGTGATTTTCATGGGCAATTATCGATCACTTGATCGATCATCCATTTATCGATCAAGTTATCGATAAAATGCATCCTCTGTTATGCTCTGTTCTTCGTTCAGCTCTGACATAGGTTCGGTATTTCTTCAATATCTCTCTAACCACAAATCCTTTTGAGGTGAAACTTGATTCATATGAAACTAGACTCAGAACACGGTTCATGGACACCAAAATCAATTTCAAAGAGTTTCGTATGAGGGAGATATGTTGCTCGAAACATTGCAGTAAGGATTAACGCCTTGATTCCGACCTTCAGTCACTGTGATGAATATAACTTTGCAACCACAACGAATTTTGAGTTGATTCTTGTCGCATTAGAAAGTAGACTCAAAGATATTTCTGGGGATAGGTCATTTGCAAAATTTGGAGTTGAATTGGAAGATTTATGATCACCCAAAGTTGACCTTCGTTTTGCTGGAATCAGACTTCGAATTTATTAAGGCAAAAACCAGAAGTTCTACGTTGATTGATTAAGCTCTCGAACAACATACTACTCAAATATGTTATTGAGTAAAAGCACTAGAAGAAATGAGGAAATGAAAAGCCATTATCAGATGTTACTCGAGCCTGATCAAGCAACTACATATTCGATCATTTTATCAAGTTCCTGGTACTATCTCTTTAATTCTTCTCTTTTATCTTCATATGCATTATTGAGGTTTTATAACCTGTTGGATAAATGGTTTTCGGATAACATTATGGATAAACATATTTATCGATCACTTGATCGATAAACAAAGTTAACGTTATGGATAAATAGGCATTTATCGATAACATGATCGATAAATATATTATCGATGAGAAGACAGATAAATGGTAATGCGTTCTACTCATTCTATGTTTTGCTTTAGTCTCCATTTATCGATTACCTCATCGATCAGTCATTTATCGATAATATGATCGATCATTGCTCTTACATGTCTACCCTGTTTTTCACGTAACGTGATCGATAAATCAGTTCTTTGAATTTACAGGATTAAATCTCCTTGTTTTACTTTATCGATAACTTTATCGATCACTCATTAATCGATCACCTATTCGATCAACCTACATAGCATGTGTTTTCTCCGAATATACTTTTGCTTATTGTTTATCGATAAGGTTATCTATTATTTGTTTATCGATAATGTGTTCGGAAAATCATTACTTAAAATTCTATTCTATAACACTTTGTTTATCGATAACCTTATCCATCATCCATTTATCAATAATTTGTTCGATCATCAATGACTGAAGTTTCATTTCTGTAACACTTGGATTATCGATAATCTGTTCGATCAACAAGTGTTCGATCACTTGTTCGATCATTGTACAAGTTCATTTCATAACAGCATTTCACGATGATTTCGAAATCCTTTATCTTTTTATCTTCAAAGCTTTTCTCAGCCTTCTTTTTACACATAACTCTCTATTAAAAGGATACGAAGGCAAACATAACTTGAAAAGGTTTATTCTTGCATAAATCATTTTTGGGTCACTGTATTCATGCTTCATCATTTATCGATCATTTGTTCGATCATCATATGATCCATAATCTATTCGATAATTGCATCTATCTGCTATATCTTTTCTTCATGTAATTAATCGATAATATAATCGATCAAATCTTTATCGATCAAGACATCGATCAAGTAAGTTCATCTTACTTTCTGAATATCTGAATATCTGATGACTGATTCCATGTTTTTCAACTTATTGTTTCTAAGATTATCGATACTTATCACTTGATCTGAGGAAGATTATTTCAGGTAAAGAGCCACAATGAATTTATGAGGTGAAGAATCGACTTTCGTCAGAAGCTTCCAACGGCTAGTTTCAACGGTCATATTCTTCAAGCCAAACGGGAAGAAAATGCTCAACGGTCAAGTACCCAACATCATCCATAAATAGAAGAGTATTCAAAATAAGAAAAGGGAGAAGAGCTTGAGCTTACAACATCAAGTGCTAAAATGCCGAAGCAACGTATTCTCATTTAGAGCTCCGAAAGAAAACTCCCTATCTCTGTACCTCATAGATTAAAACTTATGTATTCGTAAGATGGAGAGGAGAGTTTCCCAAACGTGCTTAAAGAGTCGTCTATCACTTCTTTGAGAGAAGAAATATTCAATCTTCATTATCATTATTAGATTGTATCCTTACGGTGAGTAAGGGGGAGTATTTACCTCGGTGTGAGGTTGCTGCTGAATAGACTGGTTAATCTAAGAATTGCAAGTGGCGTCACAAGTGCCCGGATCAAACTTGTGATTGTAGTGGTTCTCAAGTACCCGTGTTAAACTTGAGGGAGATAGTTGATTGAAAATCTCAGGGGGAGCCTGGGGACTGGACGTAGGTCAGTGAGGACTGAACCAGGATAAATCACTGTTTGCATCTTCTCTTCCCTTACCTCTTTATATTTCCAGCTAAACCATTTTACTACTGTGATTATGCTTATCTCGATTCATTGTTTTTATACTCAGAATTTCTTATGAATTTCATTACATTGCAAAAAGATTTTTAATTTTAATCAACACTCAATTCACCCCCCCTCTTGGGTGTTCAGCCATTCCAACATGGGTTTGGTTGAATTATGATTAGGCAGTAGTTAGTTATAATAAAATGATACAGATCGGAAGGGACAATATTAAATTAAAGTCTTCATTAATCGAATTCTATATTAGTATTAGCGTAAAACTCAAAATTACACGTCTTCCTCTAATTTACGTTTGGCTTCTTTTGTGGAAAATTGACGTTATTCACTTTTTTATAATTATTATTTTCAGGCTCTGCTTAAGGAACCTCGTCATTTCGGGATCGAACTATTTTTAATTAATTAACTAACGTGTGATGAGAGATTTAAATTTGAAGCTTTCGTGATATATAGTTATGCCATTAGAAAATTTGCCATGCA